AAAATAAGGAATAAAATATTAATTACTTCACTGGGAAAGCATGTAAATTGCTTAATGTGGGGTCTGGCACATAATAAGAACTCAATAAATTTATTCTTAGTATTCTTTCAAGCCACTTTATATATATTATTTTTGATCTTCTATACAACCCTTTTTATACACAGTGGAATACTACTAAGACACAAAGAAGGATAAATTTGAGTCATTTATAGGAAAATGGATGCGTCTTGAGACCATAATACTGAGTGAAATAAATCAGACACAGAAGGTTAAATAGCACATGGTTTCTCTTATGTGAGAAACTCGAAGTATAAATAAAGAGCAAAATAAAAGATATATTATAGAAAATAGGGAGATTGATTGAAAGGGGATAGTGGGATGAAGAAAGGGAAGGGAGGAAAGAGAAAGAGGAAGTAAAGGGTTGAAGATGCACCATGTACATGTACCAACACCCTACAATGAATATGTTCATTATGTATCACAAACAGGTACTAAAAATAATAAACAGTATTAACTCCTTTGTATATAGCTAGGGCAGTGCAGGCTCAGACCAGTTCAGTGACTCACACCAAATTAAATAAGTGGCAGAACCAGATCTTTCTGACCCCAGACTCCTGAAATTTTCTTCTGCTCCATTCTGACTCTGAGTCAACTCAGTCCCATGCAAACCACCACCCTAAGGGAAATGTTATAGCTCCATCTTAAGCCAGTCTCTCCACTGTCCCCATGCTCAGCTTCAAGGATGTATTCCAGTGAAGCCCACCCACTAGACAAAGCAATGCCAATCTGGACATGTTTACAAAGTGCCTCTCACCGTAGAAACTGGCCACTCTGCAGGCATATTTTAGCAGAAAACAAGGCAGCTTGCCTTCCAAAGTGCTTGCTCCTGCATCTCATAACCAGGGGAGAAGAGCCACAGCTTCTTTTTATTGGCCCATAACCTTTCAGTTATGTGAGTTTGGCATGAAATGACAGTTGTTAACACAGCAGGCCACCTCTTGGCATTCCAGTGATGGCTATATTAGTGCCACCACAGGGCTCAGGCTTGCCATAAGATTTTTGTAAATCAAAATGCCACTAATTTTCCCCTTATAAAAACTACAAGATGGTATCCAGGCTGTGCTTTTCAATTTATATTGTTCTGCCATGCAGCAGCAAGATCATGAATTTTAAATGCCTACTGAGATTTGGTCCTATAACTGCCCCATGGGCCCAGTGCCACCATGGGAGAACGGTGTAAAGTAGCCATAATAGTATTGTTACAGGAAAATCTGATTGCAATAAATCCTGAGGACTGAGGATAAATTCAGTGAGCATTTTCATTAAATATTAATTCTCTCTTTTTCCCCTGCCCTCACCTCACCTTGTCATACATTATATAAATCTTATCTTACATGAGTCAGAACAGGACTAAAACATGCATCTTATTGCCTTCCATAGATGCTGGTAATAAAAGGGAAAGATAGTGGGGATGAGGTAGCGGAGAGAGAACTCAAGACCAGTGCTGATTGTGGCTTTACTAATAATTCACAATCTGTCTCCTCAAACCAAGGCTCCCTCCCACCTTTCTTACTCAACTGATGTTGCTGCAAGTCTCTTAAATACTGAGCCTTGAAGCAATGAAGCTAAATCCTTCACTTGTCCCCATGTTGTCCCTCACACTCAGTGAGTGATCTGCCTTCCTTTATGATATCTCTCAACTCCGACTTTCATTTCTACATCCACCACTACCAATCCTCAACAAAGAGGACCACAGCAGAGAGAAACCAAGAAACTGAATTATTGGAATCATCAGTTTATGCACAAGTAGGTAAGAATTCAATTCTGGTTGCAAACAAATCTGGATTCAAGTTCTAGATCAGGAACCTTTTACCTGGATAATGTTGGGCAAGTGACAACATTTCCAAGACTCATCTAAAAACTAAAGATAGGGCCGGGGATTTAGATCAGTGGTTCTGGTGCCTGCTGTGCAAGCTCAAAGTCCTGAGTTCGCTCCCCAGTACAAAACAAAACAAAAGATAACACTCAGGGTGCTACAGCGATCAAGATAACACATGATAACTGCTTACATTCTTCTTTAGCTATATTGCATAATCCATTTCTTTCCCCCCTTTTTAAATCTATGCACTTCTTTCAACCTTCTCTTGCTTAAATAAAGTAACAGTAAGAACATCTTCTGTTTTAAAACCTAAACTAGGTATCAGATAAATACCAAAACTTCAAATTTTTGTTCAAGGTTTTTATTGTCAGACCTCAAGATGCCCTTTAAACATACCTCTGCCACTCCTGCTGCTTTGGAGTCCTACCTGCCTTACTACCCAAACACACATTTCCCACCATGTCATTACTCTTCACGGTCATATCCTTTTCCTCTTCATCTCCATCTCTTCTCTGACATCCAAATATATACATATTTTAAGGTCTACTTCAAATCATCATCCTTTGAAAATATATGTTTGATACTTCAATCCAAACTAGCTTTCCTTCTCCACCAAACCTTGCAGTCAATACCTATTTCTGCTGTTATTTATGGTACAAATCATATACTGCCAAGCTTGAATTCCTTCTCTCCTGTGTCTTACTTTTGTAATTAAATGAGAATGTCCTTTGGTTCCAAAGCAAGGGACCATCTCATAGGTAAAACTGTCTTAGAATGAAGACTTTTAATTGTTCAGTAACTATTTCTTTTGGATGCACTCCAAACTATATACACCTTACATGACACTTATATTGATAAATTTTGGAATAAACCACTTTTAAATAATGTGAGTTTGGACACAGAAAGAGGGAGAAAACTTCATTGTTCTCCATCCTGGCTTGGTAGTAGCTGAAGGTAAGCCCCTGCCGAGTGTTTCAGGGAGAGGCTCTTGTTCAATGTGTTGCATCCCTGGAAACAGAGCCCAAGTTCCTTGGCCTATGCCTCTATGGGAATGGATACACAGAGAATCCTTGTCTCCTTGGGCAGAGACTAAGAAGCCATAATCTACTCCACTGTTGTTTAAGAATCGAGACAAGGAAAACCCCATCACAGATGATATCTGTGGGACTCCCGTATAAATCCTATTTCTGATCATGGAATTCAGACTACAAAATAGATTGTATGAAAAGACCTGTTTTCTATACAATGACCTGTGATGAATAAGAAATAAAAAAAGAGCCAGGCATGGTCGTCCATACCTGTAACTCTATTACTCAAGAAGCTGAGGCAGGAAGGATTGCCAGGAGTTCTAGCCCAGCCTGGGCTTACATAGAGAGTTCAAGGTCAGCCTGAACAACATAGCAAGACCCCGCCTCAAAAAATAAAAAAAGAGAGAAAAGAAAAGAAAAAAAAGGAAAAGAACCACCGTGTAAATAGTTTCTGTTTTACAGAGATAAATTGTCTCACGCTCTATGCACCTCCATCCTTACTAAGCAAACCACTCTGTTTTTCCCAGCCAAATTAAACAATACAGTGTTTGTCCTGATCCACTTGACAAGTGTAAATCCAGTTCCTTATTCCCAGTAACCACTAATGTTTCAGCCCAAAGTACCAGAGGGTGAGCAAACTGAAAACCAGGCTGTCCCAACAGGTCTGTCCAGGTCAGACACTAGAGGAAGTGGCAAGTTCTTGAAAACAATCACAGTGGCAACAAAGGGACAATATGGGGAGTTCACTGGGGGACACAGATGCCCCAAACCAAGAACCAAGAATTGCAACCAGGAGCTAATGAGAGAAAAAAGTGTTGGCATTATCATTTTAATCACCATCATCACCATCATAGGTTCATGGTACCATCTCTGAAATTTTGAACCCTGTGGACATGAATGGGTTTTGGAATTCAGAACTTTCAGATGTTTGGATCCATTAATTAAGTTAATTTAAATACTTTACTATTTCTGGGGCAATGAGTAGAATTAAAGCTAGTCTCATGTCAGTTCAGCTCATACAAACATACACGCATTTTAAGGTCTATTTGCCACCCAATGGGTTTTGACATCAATTTCCAATCAAAATCACTTGCTTTTTAGAATTTGGGGGGTTTCAGAATTACCAGTGAGAGACTATGGACCAACAGATGATGGTGTAAGTGCCAGCCAGTGAGTGAGCACCTCCACACACCTGCCAGTTTGAACCTTGGGAGATAGACATCATCTCTACAGTGAAAGAAGGAAACAGGTTTACTGATCTTCTCACAGTCATCTAAAAATGCAGTTGCAGCCCACAAGCCACAGCTAGGGCAGATATAGGATTTGGGTACAGAGATCCTGCTGTTCTTGACCATGAAGAGAGTTATATGACAGAGCCATGTAGTGAACTCAGATTTCTAAGATTATGATTTGATGTAGACGTAAGTGAACTAAATCTGAAGTTTCCATTCATCTGTTTTTCTGGCCTTGCCAGTGACTCTTGTTTGTCTCTTGGTATTTTGAAATTCTACTTTGATTACTTTGAGTTGTATTGGGGTGAATAGCGTCTCTTATCCTGATATCAATCACTAATGCTAGTGACTCCATTTTCTTCTAATAGCCAATCTAGGGTGTATTCTAAGGTTATTTTAAAAGTTATTTTGCTTCCACAATATCACAACTAATTACCTGCACCTATGATGTCATGAAGGAGACAAGAAAGAATGCTATTTTTAAAAGCTAATTTTTAAAAGTGATACAAATCCAAAAGGAAAAGAGATCATATTGTCCTGCCTTTGGTCTTCAGATTATATTTATGCACGACTATCCTGAAAGTGCTATCAGATAATACCTGCCCAACTATGTAAGGGACAGCCTTAGGACAAGCATAACCATCTCTGTGTATCGGGACCTCCATCTTTCATCTGAGGCTCTCTCTCCAGAAGCCTCCTTCTGGGCAGGATGCAATTCCAAATCAGAAGCTCGGTGAGGGTACTGGGTGGGTGGCCTTGGCTCCCTCTTGAAGCACCACCCATCAGTGGTGACTCTCATTCCATTGTTCAGTCATAATTTAGTGACCAAGTTAGCTAAAGCCAGGTAGGGAGGTACGGGAGAGCAGATAGGAGGAGCAAACCATTCACCTTCCCTACCTTCTCTCTTGCACCTGCTTTCTTAGACCCTAGATCATCTCACCAGTGATTTAGCTTCTGTAACAAGGCATCATCAGAACAATTTTTTAAGGCAGTGATCTTCTGGGAATTTATCATTCAGAAGATCCTGTAAGTTCCATGGTGTCCAAATTCACTCTCTCAAGGGGCAGCCCCTAATCTTTGACATGTGTTTTCCCCAAGTGTTGGTTTTCTGAAATGTAAATAGTTAAGTCGCTTGCTACATTTATTTCCTTTTGGATTTGAATGCCCCGACAAATACATTGGTTTTTCATACCAGAACCTGCTAAATTGAAGATTGGAGAGAGCATACTTAGGCAGGGGAAGAGGGAGCAGTCTTCTAGCTAATGTGTGTGAGGATTTTCACTTGACTCCTATTAATACTAATGAGGGTGATCTGCCAAAATCCCTGTGCACTGAGATGAAAATATATGCCTTCATATAGAGATTTTCTGTTATACTGTTGATAATTCATTGTATGATGTGATGAACTTATAGTATAATAATGGCGCTTATACATCACACTTTGAAGACGCTTTTTATTGACTTAATGTGAATATTATTCCTATCGTTTATTATAGAGAAGTATCTTGTAGTAATTGAAATACAATATGATGCCATTAATCATCCAGAATACAAAATGTTAACTTTAAACTGGTCACACTGTATTAAATGCTCCTCTGACCATAAAGCAATTTGATTTTCAAATCTGTAAAAAGCTGGATATTTAGGATTTAGTGTAACTAACCTTAGAACACATTTCTGTATTATGTTTTGAATCAGTTGGCTTAACTGAGGTAAACTGTATTGTTTTGTTTGATAGATTTCCCCTTCCATTGTACATGTACTAGGCAACATGATTGTTTAAAGTTATTTTCACACAACCAGGGAACCAGGGAATTGGATTGTTTTCCCTTCTCTCCATACTGACCTTGAGAACTAGTTAATCTTAGTTAATAATCTTATCCATATTTTCAATATTTAACTCACTGGAACTTTAAATTTAAAAAGTGGGGTGCTGTCAGACAAAATAGAATCACTGAAAATGAGATGGCAGGGTGATTACTTGTCTCTGTCCAACTGTCATTCTGGTATATCCTGATTCAAAAACCCCATTAATTAGGAAGCAGCCACTAAGACTGAGATTAGATTTAGTAGGTCAAATTGTGTAGTCTCATGTTCCTTTTCGTACAGCAGAGTGTGACTATTAACAAAAATTGCTTGCAACTTGTACACTAAAGTTATATAGGTAGTGGGCTGGAGATTTAGCTCCGTGGTTTCACCGCCTGCTGCGCAAGCGCAAGGACCCAAGTTTGATCCCCGGTACCAAAAAATAAATAAATACATAAAGTTATGTAGGTAGAAAAATGTTCTATTTGGGATGTGTGACACAAAGGGAAAGGTGTTATATGCTTTCAGACAGCATAATAACTTTATAATAAAGAAAAATTTAAGTTCATTTTTAACCTACCTTTTATATCTGAAAATATTTCTTAGGCATATGGCAATTTATCTACATTATTAAACAGTTCAACTTTAAGAAGCTACTTCTTTTATCCCAGGCATTTATAAAAATAACTCACTGGGTGGTATTTTCATATTTTAAAATTTCTACCATAATTCCATTTTTGGAGTAGTGTCTTTTTTAATTATAGAAGTAATATATGCTCATAGTGGATAATCCACAAAATACAACAAAGAAATTAAAACACTTGAAATGTCTTGAGGCAATATTTCCAAAAGCCTTTGTAACCACTTGGGATGATGCAGAGATGATAAAACATTCACTGGAGACCTGAAAATCACTTCCTTTCTTTTTAATTTCCATCAACCTATAAGCAATTTACGACCCTCTATGTGTTAGGGAACATAGAGTGATTCTATGTTATTTTAAATTCAAATTTTCAGTAGCATTTCTCTTCTCTTCATAAGCACATTTGTTCTTTTTTTTTTTTTTTAAACACTTTGCAGAGAGATTAAAACGAAAATGTATGAAGAGTCCCGGAAGGTAGTCTGCTTTGAAAAGCTGTTTACTTGCTGTGGGCATGGTTTGGGGGGCTAAAGGTCAAGGGTGAGTCATGAGAAAGACCCACCTGCCTTCCATTCAGATATGCTCAATACTCTTTCATCTCCCTCTGTTTTTGTTGCCACCAGCTGTGTCTACCTTAATCCTCCCTGTGCGGTTACACCTTTTTTCTTAATAATCTATAAGCAAACCTAGAAAAGGGGCATGTTCTGACTAGAAAGTAATGGCTGGAGAGCAGGTGATGGGAAGAAATGCAAATAGAAAAGAAGTAGAGTGGGTAACAAATTCCTTTTAATAAAATGTCAGAGAATCCAACAGCAAGTTTGATAAGACCTGATTTGACTCGGAGCATCAGTGGAAGCTATGATTTCTTAAATTGTATGTGATACCTGCAAGAAAGGCGGGCTGAAATCTCAGCCTAGAATCTCAAAGTGCTTTCCATGAATAATCTTTTTTTAATGTAATAGGTGATAAATAGATTGCATGACTTTGAAGCTTTTAGGACTCAGAAATATTAAAATGCAACTAGCATAATAGATCACATGTGAAGTTTGTAATTTGCATGTATGTCTCCAGTAAATAGTGCTGTAAAAGATGCTCTACCTTAAGCCCCTACTTTTTAAAACATAAAGGTGGAGGGCCAGAAATTTAGCTCAGTGGTTCTGCCGCCTGCCTCGCAAGCACAAGGACCAGAGTTTGGTACCAAAAAAAAAAAAAACCCCATAAAATTGGAGGTAAAATGGGAGTTGAGCAGATTTCTGAACCCCCAGTGTGTGAAAAGAGGAAAGGAGGGGCCAGGAATTTAGCTCAGTGGTTTCGCCACCTGCCTCGCAAGCTCAAGGTCCCAAGTTCGATCCCTGGTACCCAAAAAAATAAATAAGAGAGAGAGAGAGGGAAGGAGGGGCTGGACGCCACATTAGTGTATCCTAGTCAAATTTCTTGGTCAAAAGGAGTATGTGAGTGCACTGACCAGATAAAAGAGGAGACTTTAAAAGAAAAGAAAAATAAAAAGAAAATCAAACAAAGTTCTGAGTGTACTCTGTGGTAGGTTATTACCTAGAAGACCCAGTTAGGAATGTGTGACTTATTTGATGTCTCCATTGGCACATTCATGGATGAGTAATACCTGTCACAGGCCCCACCTGTAGAAGGCAGCAGGTTGCAGCCCTGTGTGGAGGTTTGTAAAAAAGTAATGTTGGTCTTGTGATCTGTGAGGGAAAACTGAGGATAAGAAAAGTATCAAAAACAGAGAGTACCCTAGCAACATCTAGGGAATTTTTAGCATATTATTATTTTATTTCTTTTGCAAAAGAGAAAAAAATCTTTCATATGAACCACAAAAGTGGGGCTTGAATGAGGACAGGCAGGGTCGCCTCTCCAGAGAGACAGCAGCCCAGCTGGATGCAATGAGTAAGGCTGTGATAGAGTGCCCTCCAGTAACCCCTGGCAACAGCCATTCCCAGAACAGCTGTCAAGCAGTGACTTAAATGGATGACTTGAGTGATGAGTCTGTTTTTATTTGGTTGCTTGTTTTTTAACTCTGATGTATGGCTTTGAACACCTAGGGACTCTCTTTCCTGGAAGAAATAAAGAGACCTATATTTTAGGTTCTGAATCACCTTTCCTTAAATACCTAGGGAAAACAACTTCACTGGTGTGAGCACTGAAGAACATCTAGATATATTACTTTTTAAAGCCCAAATCTAAAACTCAGTACATGCCTTATGCAAGTACTATCACTCTAATTAATGCTTTTTTTCTGGTTTTAAGAAAATGGTGTTGTAAACACCATTTCTCCCCTCCTAGTCTAGCTTAGTGGAGTTAGACTCCCTGGATCTGAACCCAAACTCTTCTACTATTTAGTATAATTTAAGGCAACCATGGATTCCCCACACTTCTGTTAGCACATCTACATGAAGAGTGACAATAGGACCTACCACCCAGTAAAGTGGTGGAAGTAAAGGAGTTAGTGCAGGTGAGGCACTGAACACACTGCATGGTTAGAGTCAAGTTAGCTGGAGACTATTACCAAATCTTAGTAAATGCAAAATGCTAGCAATTGTATGATAACATCATTGTTTTATGTATCACTAAGAAAGAAAAATCATTGCCAATATAACACAATGCTTTCTTATAGTTCTTCATTTGTACTTTTGCAAAACTTCTTCAAACTTAATAGATGTGGATTTTATGTTATATCATCCTGGTGCAATGTTAAGAAGGAAATGTAAGTTAAATAATTTAATATATTCCTAAAGCTACTTAGCATTAGAGCCCGATTCTCTTGAATTTCTTTTTGAGTTATCAAAGCTCTGCACCAAGACCACCAGGGAACTCTGCTGATCACACAAAACTGGCTTTATGAAACTTGCTGAGCAAGAGAAAGCAGCACGTTGGCAGAATTGCAGCATTCTCAAAAAGGGAGGTTAGAGAGGGGTACTTGTCACTTTTTCCACCAGGTGTGGGCATAGTCACAAGGTGGTTTTGAGCAATTATTAAGAGAGGTTGGGAGAGAGATAGGTCAGAATGTGAAATGAGAAGAGCTTCTGTGAGTCAATGGTCTTATTTTGGAACATATGGGGCTGGTGTCCAAAATCTTTAAACCGAATTTGCTGTGCACGTCATGGTGCATACAGTTTACATTCTTTGTAAAACTTAGACTGCAGTTTTGTAAGTAGTGATTTCTGCTTTAGTTTTGACCCTTTATCAACAACATCTGCATTTTGCTACTCAACTTATCTGTGTCATTAGGAGCATTGGTGACACAGGGCTTCTGTTGCCTGCTATTGGAGTGGCTGGTACCCATTCTGAAAGTTTCCGTACCTGTGTGTAGTACTGACAACTACATCACAACTGCTGCCGGGCTTATGGGAATTTCAGTCTGCTTCCTCATTTCTGAATTGACAAAATGTGAAAAAACTGTGCAGGTCAGAATTAAGGAAATACTATGATCATTTGATAAAAATGAAATCTAATTCTCACCATGGATGGTAGAACCAATTATGTTTAAACTCTTATTAGAAAGCTAGCTAGTTCTAAGATATAAGTCAAAAGATGTATCATAAAATTATTGAACAAAACAAGAGTATCCATTTCTAGACAGGCCGTTGTGACTTTTCTCTAAGTCTAAAGGAGAGAAGGGTCATTGTTTTGTTCTGATCCTTATAATTTTGGCATTATTTTTACTTTGCCAATTTAAAAAATCCTACTTTTTCAAGTTTTTTCTACAAGAAATGTATCTTGACTCAGAAAAAACAATCTGAACTCTGTAAATTGGAAACATCTACAGTATTTTACCTGTGAAATTGATGTCCTGCTATGAGATGAAACTAGAAAAGGTAAGGATACTCAACGTTTTTGTTTATGTGTGTTTGTGATACTGGGATTGGACCCAGGCCCTTTGCACTGAGCTACATCTCCAGTCCTTCTTTTATTTCTTATTTTGAGACAGAGTCTTGCAAAATCACTTAACTGCCCAGGCTGGGGGACTTGCTGTCCTCTTGCCTCAGCCTCCCAGAATGCTGAGATTACAGGAATGGACTACCATGCCTGGCTCAAAGGTACATTTTAAAAATTATTTTAAAATTTTATTGACATACTAATTGTATTCAAAGGTATGTTTTTAATTGAATTTTTTAATTAGATGGATTTGAACTTGGTTCCTTTGTAACTTGCCCAGTAGTCACAATGGCAGCTCCCAGAATGGTAAATCCAGGAGCAAACAAGCCATTATGACTCTAACTCTGGACTCACTGATTTTGAAGAAATTGTGTGTGTGTGTGTGTGTGTGTGTCTGTCTGTCTGTCTGTCTGTGTGCTAGGTGGGGATATAGAGGGAGAGAACTGGACATCCATTTTTATTGTCAGTATTATGCTTTCCTCTGAAAGACTGCCCCAAATGTCAGGATTATAAATAATGGCCACGCTGTCTTATGACTCGAATGGGTCAAGGAAGAAATTCATGTATTACCAGGACAATAGAGCGAACACATACTGAGGCTTCATCCCCTTCCATGCTTGATAGAAATTCAAATTAATTTAATAAGAATTCTGACTTCTCCAAGATTATTTTGACACTTTCTTTGAAATATGAAAAATCTTTTTTTTTCTTTGTAATAAAAAGAAATGTGAACTATCCCTGAACCACTGATGTCCTGGGCATATGCTGTATCTGCCTGCTGGCTGATTTTCACTGGGTGGCATCTTGGTTTGCTTCTGGATCAGGAAATGTTTCCACTTTGTGCAGAATGGAGATGTTGGAATAACACTGTGAACATTTTTTGTGTTTATTTGTGAGCAAAATTCCTCCCCTACCCCTTTTGAAACCCAGTGTCATATGGGTTGTTTCTCAAAGTACAATTCAGATATTCTTAGTATATGTGCTGCCGAAGTGAGCACAATTCAGATATTCTTTATTGCAGATTATTCACTCTGTTGGGTTTCTTTATCTGAAATTATCCTGGGGAACCTTTGTGTTTGAAGTACAAAATGATATGAAAAGTCAAGTTTAAAAAAAAAAAGGCGAACCTAAAAGCTGAAGGCGGGTGTTGGAAGCAGAAAAATCATTCCATGAACTCCCCAGGAGTTGATCAGAGAGACAGCCACAAATTCTAACAAAGGCAGAGATCTACTCAGCTCTGAAAACCAGCTTGAAACACTGGCAATGTTTCATTATTTATTTCATTAATTCTGTGATCATAATTTCTACTGACAAGATTTGGAAATCTAATCATTTATTAATGAAACGTGTCCGGTGCACTGTGCCCAAGATCTTCGTCGGGTCCCAGCCCCTGTGTGATCGAAGCTCTTTGCTAACTGGGGGCTCGTTGTCTTCCCACAATGTGACATTGGAATTTCCAAGATCCTCACGGGAGATCTGTCTCTGAGCTCACAGGCAGAGTCAAAGATGGCTGCCGGGTACAGCTCTGCTCCTAACCAGCAAGATGGCCACATCTCAGGATGTGTACAGAGAATATGGTTTCTTCTGCTCCCATAGACTAGTCTCTAAGAACCACAGCATGGTAATTGTGTGTGTTTCAGTCTTAATGCAGACAGGAACAAATAATGTAAGCCAGGTTTGCATTGTTGTAACTCACTCTGATGCAGATAAGGTTAACCTGACTCTTGACTAAGACATTGATTTTTCCTGGAAATTTCTCTGTGGTTTCAGATATTTCCAAAATCTCAGCCTGTTTCCTTGGCGACCGTCTAAGCTTCACTCCCTATGAACCAAAGTGGCATGATTCATCAGTAAACAGCAAGGCAGCAGCCACCCAACTTACAGACCTCCTAAAGATTTCCTGGAGAGCAATTCCTGCCCTGACCTGTTTCACAGGCTCTGTTGTTGTTATTTCACAGAGCACCGCTAAAAAAATAATAAAAATCCCATAACTGTGAATATGGGGAACAGCAGCATTTATGGAGATAATGAAATGCAGAAATGAAAACCCCTCACCAAAGCCCCTTTAGATGTGCCTAAGCTCTGTTCATTAATCTGTGATAATTAGACTTATTTGCAGAGGTTAACAGCAGTGGCACATGGTAATTAAGAACTTTCTCTCTACCAGAGGGATTGAAAATGCTTCTCATGTGACACACATTCAGTCTTCAGGACATTTTATGTTTGTTTTACAGCTCAGTTACCCTTCAGAAGACAGAGGTTATATTCTGTATGGCCATACTCGGATATTTTCTATAATGAAAAGCAAACACAAATTTTAGTTGTAAAGTCTGGATTGAGAATGACCTAGAGTTAAAATTCACCTCCATTACTGACCTGCTATATGATGTTGGCCAAGTTGTTGAAATCTTTTGCCTCAGTTTCTCCATCAGTAAAATGGGGATGAAAATATCTTTTTCAGGGTGTGGTGACAATTTAGTCATGAGGAGGATCATAAAACTGTCATTTGGGGCCAGGGATTTAGCTCAGTGGTTCCGGCGCCTGCCTCGCAAGCACAAGGACCCAAGTTCAATCCCTAGTACCAAAAAAACCCAAAAAACAAAAAACAACACTGTCGTTCATTGAGAACTTAGAAGACACCATGTTCTAAGGCCTTTATGTGAAGCCACTATATCCCATCTTACAGACTGAATAGCTTATCCAAGACCAAGCTTTGGAAGCAAATAATTTAATTCACTTAAGACATCCAAGTCTCTTGAGAATGAACTTCCCAAAATGGGCATAGATTCACTGTTTGGAAAATATATTTCTTTCTTCCCTCAGAATGAGAATAATATTATGCAATGAAATAACTTTATCTTTGGCAATAGTCATCATTTGGGCTTAGACTAGACATAGAGGCATAATCCTATCTATGAAGGAATCCATTAATAAAGAATTACTGGAATTCAGGAGACAGATGTTCTACTTCCCCCCAGTTTTAGCAATTGCACCAAATGAGCTAACATATACAAACCTCTTAGTACAATGCTTGGTGCATACTAAGTGCTCAATAAGCAGTAGCAATTATTATTACAGAAGTATATTGCAGAAGAAATGCACCAGAGCAAAATATATTTTTCATTTTCCATATGCACATGAATCTGAACATAAAGTAGTTCCAAGACTCTCAGTGGATGGCTGTAGCCCTGGATTGTATTGAACATATGCTATGTTCTCTCTGATATTTACATATGGCACAGTATAGATGTGCTGGACAGCAGATGATTCATGTCCTCCTGGGACCCAGCAGGATGGTGTGACATTTAATCATGCCACTCAGGTCATCATGCAGTTTAAAATTTGTGAATTGTTTATTTCTGGAATTTTCCTCTTTATATTTTGGGACTACAGTTGACCTCAGGTAACTAAAACTTTGGAAAGAGAAACTGTGGATAAGAAGGGACGACTGTAATCCAAGTTACTATTATCCCAAAATTTATATGTGGTGAAATTTTGATTCACTAGCTAAAAAAGTAGCTAGATAGTTCAGGGTATTAAAAAGGAGGGAGGGGGGAAAGGGGAAGGGAGAGAGGGAGGGAGGGAAGGAGCAAGGAAGGAAGGAAAAAAAGGAGTTACCCCAAAAAGTCATCGTGCTTTCCAGTCCTCCAATCCGGGAAAGCTGAGTTTAAAAGGCCTCAGGTCTTAAGAAGGAGAGGGGTTTGCCTGTGTTTTAAGGTTTTACCAGACCTCCTTAGTAAGTGATAATGGTATCTCACCGCTTTGCCCCGCGGCGGGGTTCATTTTTAACCAGTGCTCCCAGGTAACCTCCCTTTTATTCACCGTGCTCCTTCTGCACGCGGTGGCTGAAGCCATGCTCCAGTTTCTCAAACACAGTCCAGAGGCAGAGGGAGGCTCTCGGCAGAGAAATGAAAGCCCTGACACCTGAGCTGGGTCGATTTCCACACTGCGGTACTTTCATTGGCAGCTCCTGACTCCTCCCCCTCCACCCTCATTTAAATGAGCTGGACAGCACTTGTTT